GGGGGAGCGGGTGGGTCGCCAGCTGACCTTTGTCAAAGCCAAAGGGAGGCAGGGAGGGAGGTCTCCAAAAGCACCTCTGCCTGAACCTTTCCTGGTGGTCCACGCGGCAGGCTCTGCTTGCTCTGCGGGGTTAAGCTTTGTGAAGTGAGGGGGGTGAGGGGTGGGGGGTGGGAGGTGGGAGGGGGAGCGGGTGGGTCGCCAGCTGACCTTTGTCAAAGCCAAAGGGAGGCAGGGAGGGAGGTCTCCAAAAGCACCTTTGCCTGAACCTTTCCCGGTGGTCCACGCGGCAGGCTCTGCTCGCTCTCCTTGCCCCCCCCCCCCGCGCCCCCCCTGGCCACGCACGGCCCCGCATCTTACATTGCACGAGAAATAAGGGTCCTCGAGGTAGCGGTGCTCTTTAGCTTCCGTCCGTGACACTCCAAATGAAAAGCTGTGCTTTTTTTTTTTTTTTTTTCCATTTTGGATCCGTTCATTGCCACACGAGCATGGAAAATTGGAAATGCATAGTTGGAAAAAGGAAAGAACGAAATTGCAGACTGGGGGGGGGGGTTAAGTTTGCCCTTTTTTCAGTCAAATGGGACGCTGGGCCCGTTTCCCAGCTCATGCATCATTCCATGATAGACTGGAGCTTGAGGGAACTTAAACCACCAGTAGTTCTGAAAGTCGTGCCCGCTCGTTAAACCACCAGTACACGTCCCCAGCCTTGCAGTCCGAAACTTGTCGCCACAAGAAAACGAGGCCGAAACGTCAAACGCCGCGCCGGCCTTTGATAAATCAGATCGGCGGTCGCGGTTTCGTTTCGCACCTCCAGAAATTGAGGTGTCAGGCCTGCGGCCCAGGTGCCCATGTACTGGTGCTTCAACAAGCCACAATTTCAGGAAACGTATGGGGCGCTACAGGAGCGTCCACATTCGTCCGACTAGAAATGTTTCTACTCTATTTTTTTTTTCCGCGGCTGATAGCTGGGCCAAGTATTGGCGGTTTAGAACTCCCCAACTCTGCAATTTTGTTCTTTCCGTTTTCCAACTGTGCACTTCCATGCTCGTGTGGCAATGGATGGATTTCCACGATTGACTGGAGCTTTGTGTAAAAAAAAAAAAAAAAAAAAAAAAAAAGGAAAAGAAGAGAAAAGAAAAGAAAAGAAGAGAAGAAAACAAAAACAGAAAAGGAGTTGGATTTTTTTTTATTTTTTTTTTATTTTTTCTTTTTTTTTTTTTAAGTTGGATGGTTTTCCTTCCAACCTGTAGGCAGGGGACAGCGCTTTTTTCGTTTTTTTGAATTTTTCGGAAAACACAGCTCCGGTCTATTAGTGGGAAGCAGCACGTGCTGGCAATTGGGCCCACTTCCCAGTGGGCAGCGGCACGTGCTGCGAAATGGGCCCAGCGTCCGGTACAAAAGTTACGAGTTGAAAAAAAAAAAAGTTACGAGTTGGCCAATGGACAAATCATTGAAGCAACCCCTCCATTGATTGTACAGGATTTTTGTTTGCTTTGTCAATATGGTGTAGATTTCGTTTTTCTTTTTTTTTTCCGCAGACTGTGGCGCAAATTTCACTGGCTTCTCTTTTCCGTTTTCTCGACTTTCTTTTGTCATCATGGTGTATGTCGGGCACTGCAGTGGGCCTCGTTTCCACTAGTCGGTAAATGTGCAAAATGAGAATGAATCTTCCGCTAGAACATGAGCAGATACACTGCCGTCGTTTATGTCTTTTGTGCATTTGGAGCATTTGGAGAGCAGTGGAGCCAGGCCCACTGATTTTTGTTTGCTTTGTCATTATGCTGTCGATTGCACTGGCCTCACTTTTCCCTTTTCCAGGGTCGGGTGGCCTCACTTTTCCCTTTTCTGGGGTCGGGGCCCACAAACAGCGCTTCACGCACGGCGCTTCGGCGCTTTCATTTTTCTTTGGTCAGCTATTTTTGAAACTTTTACGAGCTGACGCGCTCGGGGGACTTTCTACTGTCTTCATTTCTTCTTCTTCTTCTTCTTCTTCTTCTTCTTCTTTCCTCTTTCTTTCTTTCTTCTTTTTTCTTTCATATTATTTTGGCCTTCATGTTGCACATGGCTGTTGTTACAGGAGACTCTATCTCTACCACAAGCAGCATTGTACGACGTGTGTGACACTGTTTTCGCATTAAAGAATGGTTTTCCCAATTTCTGCAGATTTTAAAACCTCGTTTTTTTCTGTGAATTCATGAAAGCAAAGCATTCTGTGGATTCTCCTGTCAGCCAATGGGAAACCTAGCAGCGAATTCGTCGCCTGTTTCTGAGGAGGATGGGTTCGTCCGTCAGCCAATGGGCTGGCTGCGTCCTCTGATGGTCATGCCACTGTTTTGTCGATCTCATCTCATGGAGGGGCTGAGAGAGAGCAACGAGGAAGCAACGAGGAAACGGTGCAAAATCACCCCCTACCTAAAAAATGGGCAAAAATGCAACGGATGAACAGTGGAATTTTGAATTAAAAAAAAAGAAAAAAAAGTAAGTAAGCCTTTCTAGAGCGCGGATTGGTTGACGCCCTGGCCACAAAACTCCACGTTTTTTTTTTTTTTTTTTTTTTTTTGTGTGTGTGGGAATATTTCTCGATTTATGCGGGCTAATCTTCCTTCTCTGTGTCGTTCCAATTCTAACGGATGTCCCGAAGGACAAACTTCGCGGTTTCACAAACATTCGGGCGGGCCGTGGATATCAATCGCCATCCACGGACTGTGTCACGAAAGGCCGCACGTGATTGAAAACGCCAGCAAGTCGTTGCAAAACGTCTCTAGTGGGTCCCGACCGTTGAACTTCACTTCTGTTCATCATGGTGTAGATGGCACTGCACTGGCTTCTTTCTTCTCTTTTTTTTTTTTTTTTTTTTTTTTTTTTTTTTTTTTTCAACTGGGGAGTGGAGCAGGGGAGAATTCTGCACTTGTTTTCGTCATGATAGTGTGTAGATGGCACTGGATTCTCTTTTCCCTTTTCTGGGGCCAAGTCCCACCAGCAGTGTTGAGTTTCCTGAACGCCCGAATGTGGACATGTTTGTGGAGATGTGTGCTCGAGGAAACAGAAATGCAATTTTCTGCACTTGTTTTTGTCATGCTGGTGTGTAGATGGCACTGAATTCTCTTTTCCCTTTTCTGGGGCCAAGTCCCACCAGCAGTGTTGAGTGTCCTGAACGCCCGAATGCGGACATGTTTGTGGAGATGTGCACTCGAGGAAACGGAAACACAGTTTTCTGCACACCTCCTCAAACATGTCCAGATTTGGGCATTCAGGAACCTCGACGCTGTTGGTGGGACTTGGCCCCTGCAGCGATGATATTTCGCGATTGGACACCGCTAATGTGGGGTTGGAGGGGGGTAGGGGGAGGTGCAAGTGACTGGCCAAAGATGTTCGGCACTAGCATCTCCGGTTTCCCCCGTCGGCTATGCCTGATCACCCTGCATCATCGTGATGAGGGGCTGATACAAGCCTTACTCTGGCACCACTGCTGTGGTGCCAACCTACCCCATGGGCCCGTGGGCTGGGGAGAGTTCAGGTTGGGTGGGTGTTCCCCCGTACTATGCATAGAGTAGAGAGAGGATGAGATAGAATACATACAAAAGAAGATTGAGAGAAGAATATAGATTAATTAAAAAAAAAAAAAAAAAGCAGAGGCACTTTGGCAGTTATACATGTTAAGATTTTTCTTGTGTCATTCCCCGAGGCTGTAATGCCCAGAAAATGCCTTTTTTTTTCTTCTTCTTCTTTTTCTTTTTTTGTCCTTGTAAAATCTGGGTTCGAAACGAACCCAGATTTTACAAGGACAAAAAAAAAAAACAAACGAAATTGTAAAGTCGAAAACGTTCTTTTTCCAGGGCTGGGCTGGCAACCGGCCGGTTGAGCTGGCCCGGTCCAACCGGGGCCGGATCGGGCCAGGGGGGGTCTACCGGCAAACCGGATGGCCCAAAAAAATGGCCAATTTTTATTATTATTATTTTTCTTTCTGTCAGATTCCACAGTAAAACTTTGAATGTTGGAAACTTTTTTGGGGGGCGTGCTGGGAGGGGGGGGGTTGGGGAATGAAAAAAATAAATAAATTTAATGGCTATGGCTAATGGAGGAGGAGGAGAAGAAGAGGAGCAGGAGGAGGGAGAAGAAGAAGAAGATGACGAAGAAGACAGAGGAGAAGAAGAAGAGGAGGAGGAGGAAGAAGAAAATGATGAAGAAGAGGGGAGAGAAGAACAGGAGGAGGAGGAGGAGGAGGAGGAAGAAGAAGAAGAAGAAGAAGAAGAAGAAGAAGAAGAGTAGGAGGAGGAGGGGGAGGAGGAGGAGGAGGAAGAGGAAGAAGAAGAAGAAGAAGAAGAAGAAGAAGAAGAAGAAGAAGAACGCAAGCCGATGGCTAAGATAGGAAGAAGAAGGAGGAGAAGAAGAAGAAGAAGAAGAAACAAACCTGGGGGAGTGATGGAGTGGCTCGTCGGCAGGGGGCGCGATGGCGCTGCTGGCTGGCGGGGGCGACGATGACGATGATGCACCCCGCGGAGACCTACCTACGATGGTGTGGCTGCACCTAGTGATGGCGCGGCTGGCTGGCGGTGGCGACGGTGGCGCGGCTGGCTGTCCGAGGCGACGACGGAGCGGCTGCACAGACTGGAGGTGAGCGGGGTTGAACGCGCAATGTGTTTTCCCCCGCTGCGTGACGGTTTCCCGCCAGAAGTGATTCAAAACAGTGGCCGATCTTTGGCGCTGATCTGCGGCGATCGGCGGCCAAGATTGGCCACTTTTTGAACTTCGAAAAATGGGGCCTGCAGGACCTGGTTTCGTAATTGCGGGGCAGGGCCCGCCCCCACGAGACCTCCGTAACACAATCGCGCCGCCAAAAAAAAATTTCAAGCCCAAGCGAAAATGCGCTGGGGGCGACTGGGAGGGAACCGGCCCGGGCCACCGGCCGGCGGTCCAACTGGGAGGACCGCGGATGGGGTAGGGGTCCCCGGTCCATCCGGGGACCAGCCCTGTCTTTTTCTATTTTGTCCTTGTAAAATCTGTATTTCGAAAGTTTGTGGGTGTATCAAAGGCTCATTGGTTGGTGCAAATAACGTTTTCGATTTTACAGTTTTGATTTTTTTTTTTTTTAACAAAAAAACGTTACACCTGTCTGTAACTGGGAACTAGAAATCCTGTGACTACGTACTCTGTACCTGCGTATCCATTTGGACCGATGGCATGAAAGATGAAGATGGAAGCCTTTTTAAAATGGCCGGGTACGGCATCACATTGACTCTCCCATGTCTCTGCTAACAAACAGGATCGCATGCAATCGCCTGAATCTGGATGTGTTTCATACAGAGATGCAAGAGGGTTACATTACGGTTAAATTGATTTAATCGCCTGAATCTGGATGCGTTCGATAGATAGATGCAAAAAAGCAGATGGTTTCCTTTTCCTTTTCCCATTCTTATCAGGA